GTTTTCGGGAGTTATTGCCCGCGATCGATATCGATGTCGACTGCATCGATGTGGGATCGCCCGTCGCTTGTGCACATTGCAAGAGCGACTGCATCGCGCGATGCAATCGCAGAGTCTGACCAACATCTTATAGAGTACTTTTTAAAAAGAAAACAGTCTAGAGTTCTAAAATTTACTTACCACTTCTCACACTTATTTATTTGAACAAAATTACAACCTTTCAAATGAAGAAGTGCACATTTCTGTGAAATCTTAATTCTCTACCCCATAACTAAGTTGTGGAGATACAGCATAAACGTGGTAGAGTTCTGAAACAGCAGTCTCGAAGATTACAAATCTACTTCGCGTCTTGAAAAATATTGAGGTTGAACTGAATTACACTCATTTGAAAATTAGAGCTCTGCCTCGGTCTAACCGTACTGGGCTGAGGGAAGATTTACGCGCCAGTAGTGCAAACGCGATGCTATCGTGCTCAATCTTGTGTAGCGCTCGAAGTAGTAGTACGAAGTTCCACGCAAACACACACAATCAACCCCCACACATATGTATATGTAGTTAAGAAGTATTATGGAGGGCCTACGTTTTCGAGAGTTCGCTTAAAAGAGGGGGCCCATAAAAGAATTTCAAAAAGTTCCAAACGTGACGGTTGTTCCTGCCCCCCACCACCACCACCAAGTTTAACCTTTCCAGTTAAATGTACTCCAAAATAAATGTTAATTATGAACGAGACGAAGGAGTGCGTACTCGGGCATGGGCTGCGTCCACAATTGCCACCCGGTACTACACGACACCGCGGGTGTTGCCTGTACCGCGTACAATAAGCAACACGTACACACATCCAGCGGAAACACTCGTACCTGCTGCGTACCACCTGTAGCTGGAGACGTCAGTTCTCCTCTGGGATCAGCATCATAGAGCTGCGCAATCATTGAAGCTAAACTTAGCTAGTCTAGGCGCTTAAGGCTGCTTTCATAGTTCGCATCGGTGCGGTCGGTGCCGACGGTGCCGACGGCGCCGACCGCACCGACAGTGTGAAGAGCGTCAACACGCGCTCTGGCGCATGACGCGTGCGCTGGGCGCAGATGGGGCGCTCCGGTCGATAATCTTGGTTTTGGTGTATTTCTTCGATGTTTTTTGCACTCACTTCATATGAATAAACAAAATTGCTTACGACCAACACACCCGGTATGGCCACATCCACCCGGAGTTGTGCGACGGGTTCACGACGTCGCTCGCCCGCGGAACAACTGGAAAGTATTAATCAAGACATAAAAGGGCGCAATGTGGCTCGGAGGGGGGGGAGCCGCCGCGCGGGGCGTTGCGGCAACAGGAAATTCGCAAGCCAGGGGGAGTAGCCAATTCAGGGGGGTGGGGGGCAGTCACTTAGCATGCGTGAGAAGCTGAAATGTCCCGTGAAAAGCTGGAATGTTCGAGTTACACTACATCGCTGAGCCGCGCGACTTCCCCCCCCCCCCCGAGCCACATTGCGCCCATAAAAGAATAAGTATGAACAGGAAACACACGAATTAAAGCAACACGGCGCGAAAAAAACATCGAAAAGCACAAGAAATACACCAAAACCAGGATTATCGATCGGAGCACGCGATCTGCGCCCAACGTTCGCGTCATGCGCCAGAGTGCGTATTGACGCTCTTCACACTGTCGGTGCGGTCGGCGCCGTCGGCGCCGTCGGCACCGACCGCACCGATGCGAACTATGAAAGCAGCCTAATAGAACGTTAGAGGGATAGCTCAAAGTTCGCCTGAGGAAGGAGCGAAACGAACCGTGTTCACTATTTCGCTTATAAAGTTTTTCTTCCTTAATTACGCTGCGCTTACACATTGGCTTATGCTCAAGCCTATGACTGGGCCTCGGTATAGTCCTAAGCTTGCTTGTTGCACTTCAAACTTGCTGTTGGGTCAAGGAACGAATAATGATGTCACTCCAATTAAATACAATCAACAGACCTTATGACCTAACTCCAACAGGCACTGTGACAGGAAGTATATGTGTGTCTCAACTCCACCAGCATTTGGACAAAAGAAATCTGAGACGAGTCTGAAATTAGAAATGATAATCACTTCCAATCGCTAACGAATCGGCAAAAACACAGGACGTACGCTATGTTGAAAGACTCCTTATCCACGGAGAGATAGACATGCCAACACACAGATTAAGACCTTACTTATCTGACCACATTCTGCTCACTTGTTTGAAGGCGTGGTACTAAAAATAGGACACAAGTATTGCGGGAATCAAATCGGCTACAGGAGGATTCTGTGTCGTAATGGGGCGTTCATAGTTCGAGATCGCACGTGCGACTAGGCGATTAGACGATTGGACGCTTAGGCTGGGAGGAAAAGAATACCTTTCGATTAGATGTCGGTCAGACTCGGTGATTGCGTGTGGCCGAGCCTGACCGGCATCTAAGATTATTAGGACGATGTCAGACTTTGCGAATCGCGCGATTCGCTATTAGCGATTCGCAAAGTCTGACATCGGCCATAAGCTAGCAAGCGTGTGGGATTTCATACCTATTGACTGGTTCGCTCCGTCCCTGACTGATCGCCTAGTAAAGCTGGTGTCAGAGTCCGCGATCCGTCGCAGGTTTCGCTGATTTGCGCGCGCGATTTCGCGATTTGCGCGATTCACGCGACGGGTCACGGAAATCACAAGTGCCCGATCAATACTGCAAGGTGTTCTCCAATCCTGCCGCCACTTCTGCTTGATAGTGATGGCTGAATGACGACTGCTCATGATTCCACTTGTTTCATATTCAGTGTTTCAAATGTTCACACACTTGCAATTTTTGCGATCCGTCGCGGAATCGCGCAAATCGCGAAAATCAGCGAAACCTGCGACGGATCGCGGACTCTGACACCAGCCTAAGCCTAATCGCCCACTCTCCTATTCGCCTAATTGATACAAATCCTTTTCTTTCAATCTATCCAAATCGCACAGTGACTTAATCGATGTCAATCGCAACTACCTCCCCTTCAAAAAGCCAGAAAGTGTCGGGTGCAGACCATACACCACAAGTGACGACGGCCTCCAAGTAAATCTGGTTAGTAGTGTTCATAGTGATAGCTGATTTTTGGTAAATGATAGTTGTAATTAGTGACAACTGATAGAATACAACTGCAACAGGCTAATCATTTCATTGGCAGAAAACATTTACATTTTGTGGAGGCCGTCGTCACTTGTGGTGTATGGTCTGCACCCGACACTTTCTGGCTTTTTGAAGGGGAGGTTATGTATGCTGTCATCTGATAATCCCTAAAACGGAGCTATCGGGTAATTTTTGAGATTTTGGGACGGGTGTAATGGTGAAATTGCGGCGATGATTCCGTTGCGTGACGTGATAGCTTTCTATATACTTTCCTTCGAGGTTTTAAATGGAAGGATAACGAGTCAGTAGAGTGCGCAGTCAGCAAGAGACTTATTCACTGACAGTTAACAGTTAATGCCCAAACTGTAAGCGATTACGGTCTTCCCATTACGAGAGTGACTTTAAAGAAATGCGCGTGTGAACACAGCTCCGTCACTACCACTCATCTGCATTAAACTTTGGCACTGAGCACACTTAAAACCAAATCTACCGTGTTATTAGTCCATTCTTCCCCAGATTACTGTAGCTAGTAGCTTGCATTTACGAAACAATCCCCATCATACGAAACTACCGTAGCGCGTCAATCCTGGGTGGACCTTTTGCAGAAAAGAATGGCTAAAATAGAATAAAATAGGAAGTGCACGTAAATATTGACAACGTGGTTAAAAAGCAATGTGGAGGCCCAACTCATAAGGTGAGTAGCCGTCGACTGGCGCATGTGCGCCGCAAATGCACTTTTGTAAAGTCCCGTGGCATGGTCGATAGAACAAACAACCGGGCCGGTTGTGCGCTCTGTTGAGGTGCTCGTGTCTTGTTCGTTGTGGAGTGCCGTTCCGTTCTGAGTTTCCTGTGTATTCTATGCCCTATCGGAAGCTCTAACCATCATGCTAAGGCCTCCTTCCATTTCTCCATTTTACAGCGGCGGCATCGATCGTCTAGATGGGGATCGCGGGTGCTCTTCGGCTGTGAATCAATGGCGTTTCGCAGTTGTTTAATGACGAGTTTTGTTTCTGTTCGGTGCTGCTCGACAGAGCTCTCCTCCTTCGTTCGGCTCGTCATACTGCTTCCCACACTCAGCTAATCACTAGGTATTCCCCTATTATTAAGGTGGCATATTTTGAGTAAGCACGGGTCAGTATAAGTTAAGGTATTCTACCGACATATTCATACAAAAACAAGACAGCTTATAAACAGGGTTCCCGGGAATGGTTCTGCCCTAGCGTTCCCAGCAATTTCGGCACAGTCGCCATCACAACAGCTGACGAACTGAAGTAAACAAATCAATTGCTCAGTTGGGGACTGCCTTGACTATCACTGGCTTCTAAAGAAAAGAAGGCAGGTAGCATCTCCGCCAGAATTAGTACCACATGAAAGGAAACAAGTGAAAAGTTGAAGAATTGAATCCTTACCCATTGTTCTTTCCTGGCTCTGCTTGACTGTGGGCGTTTTCTTGTTTCAAGGCATAAGTTGCGTTCTTTGAGCGATTTTGTGCTTACTAAACACTGACATACCAGCGAAGTCGACATATTGAATGGAGTCGCCACTAGCAAATTCGACCTTTATTTCACGGTGACGCGTTTTTGAACATGTGTGGTCGCACTCAAAATGAACCCTGCTCCATTTTCTGCTATCGAATTCTTAGATGTATTCATCCTATCCATTGTTTAAAATTTTGGATGAAACTGCCAGCTCCGATCATTTGGTTCCGGAAAGGGAACGGATTTTTGGTTTTACTGCGATTTTAGGAGTAAGTTAGTATGCTGTGGCCTGACTCATACCACATTACATCAAGACTAGTTCATGTTCATGATTCCTCTCGTGTTATGTCGGCAAAGGAATGTTGGAGATCTGCTAATACCAATGTTTTTTAGGGTGATTGATTGATTGCACAATGCCGACCGAAGCTCTAACACATTTGGCGAGAGTGCTTCGACTTAGTCCCGAGACATTCGAAGAGGCGGTAGAAGCGGCAGCCGACGTGCTTCTTCGAGGTGGCATTGTGGCTCTTCCAACCGACACCATCTACGGCGTTTCGACGCTTATTGAGCACTCTGCTAAATTATATTCGCTGAAACGGCGCCCGACCAACAAGCCGTTAGGACTGTTCCTCAGTGATCCGGTCGAAATCCCTCGCTGGGCTCAATTGACAATCTCTCCGCATCTTGCCCAACAATTACTTCCCGGTCCAGTGACTTTAATTTTTAATCGATTGCCTTCACTTCCTATGAATTTTAATCCAGACAGAGAAGACGTTGGTATAAGAGTGCCTGCTTCGCCATTAGTTAGAGCTCTTACTGTTCGCCTCGGTCAGCCGCTGGCTCAGACATCGGCCAACGTTAGTGGTTCGGTGGCAAATCCCACGTGTGTGTCAGATTTTAGTAATTTATTCTCTGAAATCGACTTGGTGCTCGATGGAGGAGTGATTGGAAGACATCCATCCGAGGCGCCATCTACGAATGAAGGGAGCACTATAGTCGATTTAACTCAAGACGATTTCTATCGAATTGTACGGGAAGGGTGTGCCCTGAAGCGCACAGAAGAGCTCCTCAGAGCTGCGGGAATTAGACCTCTTTGAGAAACTGTTGTTGGCCGCACTACCTCGTTTGTTTTCTGGTTTCTATGCCCAGCTTTTCGTAATGTTTTATTGATTGCACTAAGGTCCTTCAACGATGCTCCAAAATCTGCAGTTTTTTCTCCATGTTTCTACAGTTCACCATGTTTTTTTATGCAGATTCGTCTAATTTTTAGAAGTGGCTATGCGAATCGCAACAAATTCCAACTAACCACCTCTCGTTGTTTCTTGGTAATGTATACCTGTGCATTTCATTCCCATTATGAAATCACCATCCTATGCTTTGTTGTGCGTTCATGTTGTATCTGTTCGCTGTTGTTTCTGTTGCCTAAAATAAATTTTGCAGGATATGAAACGGAAGGCTGAGCCGGATGCAGAAGAGATGGCGTCGTCTAAAGGGCCGTCAACATCAAAAAAGCTTGCACCAGACGCAAACAACGATTTCATAAACGAAACGGTCAGTTTGCACATATGCTTCTCTTCGTTCTTTTTGCACTTTCACAGTCTTCTCCGTGAAATGACCCTATGTTTGCGTCAAGCTTATAAAACTGACAACAATAAGCGTTAAATATGGTACTGAGAACTGAAACTAGAACTCATATCTACTTTTTTCACGCCAAAACTCCTTAGATTAGAGCCTTGCAGTCATTAGTGATAGCGTAGTGTCTTTGTAGATCTTCATTCGTAAATCCAGTTCAATAAATGAAAAGAACAGGTTCTCAAACTGATGTAAACAAGGTTCAAAACTTCAGTTGGTTCCACAATTGCTTCACGGTAGTAGGTTAAGTGGGAACAAGGCTCGTATCTTACAACTTACTCTAGTCTACAGGTGGTCCTGTTCAAATCCTCTTCTGTCCTACCTAGATACCAACCCGGCCCTGCCAAAAAATTCCGTTGTTCGCGGTTGAGAGGGAGTATGGAGGTATTTATTAGTTTCTGCACTGGCAATTTCTTTTTTAGAAATGTTTTACACTGTGTATTTCTCATTCTGGTAGGCTGAATAAAATTAATTTCATTTCCGTTTCCATTCCACACATAAGTTTCTTTCTCAACAAAACCAAACAAAAACAGCTATAAATGAGTGACAAGGTCGTGGGTATGATTTCTAGGTGGTCTTCTTCTTTTGCCGGTTCTGTCTAACATTTCTGGGAGAACTCTTGACATCAGTCCAACACGTATTTGCGAGCAAAACAAAGTAAAGCGATATTTACTCATGCCTACGCTTGGCGACCCTAACGTGGGCACTAGGCGTTTGCTCTGAACAAGTGTGATACTCTTGGTCAGGGACCGGATTCAATCCTCCCCGAGGAGTTGGGGGACGAAAATTCCTTTGAATCTTCCAAACTGGAAGTGTTCTGATAAAGGGCCTACATTTAATGATGTATGTAGGTCAAACATGCACTGAAAATGAAGAAACTATATCAGAAAAACAAGTAAATTGAAAGGAATTTTCGTCCCGCAACTTCTTGGGGGAGGATTGAATCCGGCTGCAGGAAATCGAGCACTCCTCGGTCAAATTTATAGCCGTTCCTGAAATTATGGTCTGACGTCGAAAAATTGAGGCGGTCACTCATCCTTTCAATCTAAGACCGAAGGCTTATATCGGATAGTATAATTTTCTGTTCATACCTCAAAAAATACAGAGCAGTTTAGCCTGCCCGTATGCATTATCTCAGCATCTAAGGCTTTTTTTAATCGAGGACAGTCCTTCCCATCTCACCGTCGTCCATGATTGTTTGATTACTTGAATCACCAGCCGGGGAACCCACACCCCAATGACTGCCTATCTTTTTTACCCAATGTCAAAACCTCAGATTTGGCTAGGAATCGCCTCTAGGTGTTTCAACATGGACACTGTCCTCACTCATCGCGAACAAGTATGGCATTTGCTCTACGGATGCACGGACACTCTTGGTTTGGTTTAACAGTGCCTAAAGTTATGACTACCTGCTCGCCAACTCTTCATCCATGTAACTACAGCCGACCGTTGATGCAGTAGTGTAAAGGGCCAACCATGCGTTGCGCAGGTTCCAAAATTTTACGACCTCTTCCCTTTTTTTGCTATTTATGTCTTTTACTCATTTTTATGCCCATCGTTGATGTACGGCCGTCAGCGACATGGATAGAGTCGGTAGGCAGTGGAAAGTTTCGTGACGCGCTCTGACGCGCAACGTGGGAATCAAGGAAATGACATGAAATTTTACCCATAAAATTAATAACATCGAAAATTTTGCATGGAGCCGGGTACGATTGTATCGCAGAAAACTCTACTTCTAAAAAACTAAACTTTCTAGAACTGGAACTTTCGAATCCGCTTTTTTTATTACCTGAAAAACAGCCTCAAATTAGTGTTGAGTGATAGCGACCTCTTCATTTGAAACTTTTTTTCAAGTGCGTTCTTATGAAGTGGAATGCTAACATTTTGAAATTTCCAAATCAGTTGACCATTCACTTTTTGAAAAAGTATTAAACATCTGGGAAAGTTCAGTTCTTCAAAAAATCGTCAATCCCTTTGTTCCGTTTTTCAGGGGTTTGTGGTCCGATTTTCTGAGAAGGCGCGAGTTTTCGACATTCAAACATTCATAACTTTCTTCATAATCAACTTTTTGCAGATGTCTAAGGCTAAGTTAAAAATCGCAAGATTAGGCTTCTTAAATAGTGGAACTTTTGTGAGGGCTCTCTATTTCAAAAAAAAGTCCCATTGTTTATTTTTTCCCTGTGAGTTTTTCATGCTCTTTTCCTAAAACGATAGTTCTAACCCTTAACGCCCGTATTCCTAAAAAATCGGCAGAATGAGAAGCGGTAAAAAGCATCGAGTTCTGCAAGATTAGCGCCCCATAAAATATGCTAGATTTTCCTTAAAATCTTCAAAATGAAAAGGCAACACAGTGAAGAAAGTGGACGCAAAAACTTTAGTAGCACCTTTTAGGGAATCGTTTAGCAGATTTTAGGGATGAACTTAAAATCAGTGACCTATAATTAATGCAACGGCGTGCATTCCATTGTAAATGCCAGGTTGACAGGATCTCCTTCTCTTCATGAAAAAATGGACAAAAATTTGTCACAAACTCACTGAATCTTTCTAGAGATCCCTGTACGTCAACGACTACCTTTTTCTTCCTCTTTTCTGAAATAGGTCGCCAGTTCCTTTCACTGCCACCCATCTCCCCCTCCCCCTCTCCCTGACAGAAAATTTATTCTGCGTGAGCACTGGAATATTTTGTTTGAAGAAACAAACTCACTAGTTCAGTGATTGAATTTTGTGATTTAAGATTTACTACCACCCCAAAGAGACGCACGACATTTGCTCACCCTAGGACAGATTGGGGCAAAAGGGGGCTCGTTTTGCTATGGCTTTTTAAGTAATGAGGCCCATTGTCCCACAAGAATGTTGGTTGTGAACAGAACTTTAGCCCCATACAGAACTCGAACCCGCACATTTTGCTACCGGCTTGCTGAGTTAGAATGAAAAGTTTTGTTCACAGCCCAGCATTCTTGTGTAGCATTTGTGGCCAAAAACAAACAAAAACGATATGCCTTTTGTCTTCGCGCATCTTCTACTTTCAAAGGAGCTCCAAAAAACCTCTTTCAAACGTGGTCTGAAATTGCCACTTACGTTCATTATCTTTTAAGCAGTTTCTTCACTGATTTGCATCCCCCTAAGAATCGAAGGCTGTTTTTACATGCTGATAAGGAATAGTTTTATTAAGGTGCGCATCTTATAAAGAAGCACATTTAGAGTAGGCCGCGTTTTTTCATAAAGGTTGTTTTCGCGTGATGTGGAGGTACGTTCATAGGACAATGTTTCCCTTTCAATGCCAAAAGAGGATGAAAACAATTCAACAGTCTTGTCGGTAGCTGCATTTTACCATGTTTAACAAGGCAATTTTCGTTCATGGCGCAAACCTTTTGCATAATAAAAGACGCTCAAAATGAAATGAGGCAACTGTGTACTCGAAAACAGTGAAGTTTGGTCAGAAATGGAACCATGTGTCGAGGAGTTGGGGGGACTTTCATAAGTTTTTTTCCTGGCGCAGAACCTTTCGGCCGTGTTCGAAGAGTTACTTGACAGCGATAAGGGCTCAATTGGCATGGCGGGCAAAGTTTGTGACTCGGATCCTCGTGGTGCCAAAGCGTTTCCATTTTATGGGCGCCTCCGAATGAGCTCAAAATTGTACTAGTGCTGGAAGAGATGCCTTGCTCAAGACCAGCATCAATCACTCCAACAATGTAGCTTTTTACCGAAAAGTGGCGACACAGCTTGTGAAAAGTAAATACTAGGTCAGATAATGCCGGCGCCAAAAAGCATGCCGTGTAGTGATCAGAGCACTGCATAGCCGATGTTCGGAAATTCTCACTTTGGCCTACCTTGAATAATTGCACTAGCCATCTGTCATCCTTCATGTATCCCCAGTTGGGCTACGAATAGGGAATATGGAACGAACTCTAAGAGGGGGCCTAACCTACCACTTCTCGACAGAAAGAAGCTCGCTGCTTTGCTACCGTGCGTGTTCCCTCGGCCATTATAGGGCTGGGTGTCTGCTTCGGGGCATTATTTCTATTCTTGGAGAGGGATAATGAGACGTCGGCCGTCGACTCTGACGGGACTACCATGAACCAAGTTTTCGAGCTTAGGTAAAATTTTAATTTCCTCTGAAATTGTGGCTACAAAGGTCACCTAGCGCTCTTATCGGAATTTGGCATTAATTTTTGGTTCCGATGTCATATGCTGTCTTTTGACGCCGGTATACGCTACGTTGGCATCACAACTTTTGAGCTTGCGCTAAAACTTGGGAGTCACTTTTTTGATTGTAAATATAACATCCGTGTATGGCGCTAACACTGTGAGCTAATTTTATTGCTTTAACTCCAAATATGTAATTTTCTCACCACGACGTATCGGTCCACTTTTTACCCCTTTTTGGCATTAAGAGGACCATTTCGCGGAACTGGGTGGTTTATCATGCAAGAAGCCATTCGAAAAAGCGCCCTTCTGCATGTGTGATGTTGTTGCTAGTATTGTTGTTTTCGGAACCTGCAAAAAATTGAGGATATTTATATTTGTTACCTTTAGTATTGATTACAATAGGTATATCCTTCTTGTTCACCAAGATAGAGTTTTTTTCCGCGGAACTCCTTGAAGACTTTCCGAGAAGATTACGTATCCTGGTTTAGTGAGGCCTTTGAAGGACGGTGGCATGCAAGGTTTCGGTATTGAAATCATTGCTGGCAGTCGCCTGTGTTCATGTTCCATACAGGTTCATTGTGACCAAAATTCCAGTAAAATTTAAATGTGGGGAGTTCAAAATATGAAGCGAACGATACATTTCAAGCTACAAAGTGCACCTGATACATAGACTTGTGGGCGCGC